TCAATATTAGTGGAGATAATTAATTGCTTAATAGCTATTTTTGCTCAGAGATGGGGATGGTAAAATCGATGGTGCACGGACTATTTTTGTTGTAATGTGTAATAATAATTTGACATTTCTAACACATCATGGCATTTTTTCAAAAAGGGAAAACACATTCATTTCCCTTCATGGCTAAAATTATACACCGATGTGAGTAGTTTCTTTTGTAAGTGAATGTTCATCAATCATTTGACCTTAATTATGACGCATTTGTCTATGCCAATTTTCTAAGAGAAGTTTTTTTTTTTGCTCAATAAATAATTTTGAATGCACTAAAGTTGGTTTTTATCCAAATATCAGTGGTCATTGCCTTGCTTTCCTCTTGTACATTGTGCTATTTCAGTATTCACATTTCAGTAAATGAGACCTAAATGAACTGAACTTTATCAATAATTTTTTTGGTGCAAGCCCGTGATGCTTCTTAGTGGGCATGTTGAATGATTAACACTAACGTCGTCGTGAACATCATTATGAAGATCATTATCGTTGTTATTATAACTCTTCCAACATTCTGATGGAATGGTGATTGGAATGACAAACATCTGGTAGTGTTGTTTTTAGAATCTGCAAATTTATCATTATGATGGTATACACAAACACTAACACACAATCAGTGTTTGTGGTACACATTTTAGCTATATATGAATTCCATAATTCATATACACTCATACCGACATACGAGCACACACTCGCAAACACAGTCATTCAAATAGATTTGCATTGAAAACGGGAAAATCAACAAAAGAAGTGAATGAAAACACTAACATACGCCAACATACGAGAGAGCCTAGTCCAATGATGGCTGGCAAGTTATGGGCTGCCATCATCATTACCAGCAAACCCATCTCTATTATTGTTAGACTTGACAGTGATTTTTTGAACATCAAACTAAATTCAACATCGTTACTCGATAAACTCAACTAGACGGCTAATTAATTGACACGGCATTTTTGTTGAACAATTTTCAAAAATATTTTTCCGAAACATTTCAAATATCCGTGTGCCCTGAAAAATTGTGACTACAAACTATAAAGCTGCAACTATTAAAGTGTCGACTATTTCAATTTTCAATTGCCACAGGATGGAATTCTTCTGGCTGCAACTAATTTGCGAGTGATTAACATTAAAATGTATTTCGTATCGAAATTGAAATTTTCTATGTGGTCATTATGAAAGCCGTAAAGCCATTCTAATTATGACATGGTGTAATTATTTGAAATTTATTGAGTTCCGTTCCTAAATATATTGTTTTAGAAATTAAAAGAGCTCAAATTTCCGTATTAAATGACGAAACAATTTATCATGGTCATTAGTGAAAAGGAAATTCATATTTATTACAATGTTAATAAAATATGTTGAAGAACTTTTTGTTAATATCGCATTGAAATCTGATTAAATGGCAGGTAAATACGTAAATAAAGGACACAAATTGCTCTTATAAAATAAGTTAGAAACTAACGTGCGTTAAAATGAAAATAAATAAAACAAAAATAAGTTCATTACTGTAACAATGAGAAAAATGAAAAGTGTGTATCATCGAAACATTTGTGGGATACCCCATATAAATCTGTTGAAAGCAGAGCCTCGACAATTTGCAAACGTTATTTTGTATTATAATCGGGATATGTCGTCGGAATCATCACAATTTAATCATTTTGAATGTTTCAGTAGTTTTTGTCGAATTGAACTTCTCATATAAGGTATTATGACTGTCATAACAGCATTTCAGCAGAAGTGGTAATATTTTCAACTCATAGTAGTTTTAGTTTATATGTTCAGTTATTCCTCAGTATGAAACATCGCCTCATAGAAAAAGTTTTAATATGTGCTTTCCCAAAAATGTCAGAACCTATGCCAATTGTGAAGATAGATTCAATGCAATGGTAACACTGGAATTTCAACGTGTTTTTTTTAGCTGTCTTATGGTGGAGCGTATCAAAATATCGCAACTTCCGAACCATCGTCTTTTTCAGTTCTGTCGAATCAGTCAATCGGAATGCACATTTTAACATCCTCCAATTTGTATGTAACATATACATAACCACTTTCGAAACGTGAATTCCTTTTGAAAGCGAGACCTGGAACTAATTACACAGTGACACATTTTTCAACTTTAAAATCTTGAACCAATATAAGCTTGTGAAATCCCTAGCTGGGTTTTGCATTATTAGCTAAGGTTTTTTTAAATTCATTTTTAAAATATTCGACTGGGGCGGACTTTAGCACAATTTTCGAATAATACGTACTTATTATTGAGTCTATATCTCGTGAACTATGAAATATTGCTTTTCTCTCTTATATATATATAATAAAACCAATAAAACAACACCATCATACTAAAAATAGCACAACTGCAAAAAATTAAAATTTAGACATACTTTTTCCATGTTTTTCACACTTTTTTCAGAAACTGCTACTGACTCGGCCAAACAGTATATGACAAGAAGATAGCCAATAGCAAATCAAACAACTTTTCTTAAAACCCCGATTTCATTGGTTGACTCCTTCACATAGTTATAGCCTCACAAATTCATCAAGATGAACTTCACTCCCAATTGTATGTTTATAGAAATAAAAATTGCTATGCTTTTTTCAATAAATAGGTACAAAATTGAAGTAAAAATTAAACATGGAAAAAGTATGTCGAAATTTTAATTTTTTTGCAGTTGTGCTATTTTCAGTATGATGGTGTTGTTTCATTGATTTTATCTCAAGAGAAAATTTTTAGATCTAATTAAGAGGAAAAATATTGCTTAAGAGAGAAAAGCAATATTTCAAATAGTTCACGAGATATAGACTCAATAATACGTACGTATTATTTGAAAATTGTGCTAATTTTAAAAATTAATTTTAAAAAAACCCTTAGCTAATAATGCTAAACCCAGCTAGGGATTTTCTTCCACCATCACAAGCTTCAAGATTTTGGGGCTCGATTGGTTCAAGATTTTAGTGCTGCACAGTGTTATCAATATAAAAATAATATTTGTGGACAAAGCTTAGTATTCTGTATATGAAGATATATATATAACATATCTTCTTCTTCTTAGAAACATTGTATCCCATTTATATGTACATAGTTAAAAAACTATTTCTAGCAAACAACTCTTTGAGACATTTAGGCGTATGATTTATGTTCCATATTTAATCATCATCACTTATACTCTCTGAATGTTAGATGCTGCAAACATTTTGCCGTAAATTAATTTATATTCGTAACACATGATATATACACATATATCTGAGTTATACATTCAGGCAGTCAGTCAGCCACCATCACACAAACAATATGAAACAAAAAGTTTTAAAAGTTTATCACGAGGATTTAATTAGGCTAAAGTTTTGTTAGGTGGAAAACTTCAGAAGTTCCATCAAACAGCCAATCCATTGAAATGTTAATAATTTCTCTACACAACAACAAGAAGGAAAATGCCTTTCAAAACTTTTAGTAAAAATGTCAATTCAATTAATTCGTTGAATCAGGAGGCCATAGGGTGCATAATTGCGACAATATGTGTCAATGTAAAGATGAGCGGTTGTAGAGAGAGTGTGTGTCTGTGAGCTTGGGTGTAAAACTAAACTTTAGTATTCTTATCTTGTGGCCTGATGTGCATCAATTTACAAGAATAAAACAAAACAAAAAACCCCACACATAAAAAACTTAGTAAATAATACTCCATTTTCTTTTCTCTTTTACAGATTTGACATGAAGTGGTGACAATGTTGCAACACATAACGACGAAGGTACAAAGTACAAAAGTTTCTACACTCTGGTGAGGAAGGTGAATGATTAAAAGGGAAATAACGAACACAACAGCCATCATCACTTTCTTCCATACACTGCTACTTCGTTTGCTGCCTTTCATTCATTATAGCTCATACACAGCTTATAGCCTTCGAGTGCTTGTCAGCCGCAATCATAGACAGGAGTCGTGCTACTACCGCCGCTACTACACCAACTACTGCTATTACTGTCACTTGTACAGAATATTCAACCTAATAGCTTTAAGCATCAGATCGTAATATAAGTTGAATCCAGTAACGCCTAGGCAAGTAGCTACACGGCTAAGAAAAATCGCAAGAAGGTGAACAAGGTGAAGAAGAAGTTCTACAAGACAAAGGCAAGAGAGTGTGCAACAAAAAATGTGTTGGCTTATCAGTAAACTATTGTAGCCTAAATTAAAAACAAAGAAGTTAAATAAAAACGGTTACGAGTGCAGCTGGGCCCGTCAGTGGAGATGATGTCGCTGTCCTTGTAATTTGAACGGGATTCATAGTTGTGAATTTCACATACCAACAACCTATAGCGTAACTTATGGCAGTGTACTCTAAAATGCTGGTGGATTGGTTCATATTAATGACCATGCTCCTCTCATCCACACACATTACTGCAACTTGTACGTACACAAGATAAGTAACGCCAATACTCTCTAACGCAAACATATACACCACGACAAACGAACAAGACGCCAAACAACAATAATAAGCTCTTCTTTTTTGAGGGGAGACTTCTATACTCCACCTCAACAGTACACAAGAATACCCCACCTTGACACTTATCCAGTTATCAGCAAAATCGTCATCATTGGCATCCCAATCAACAACATCACTGACCCAATCGACAACAGCCATCCTCATACCAACTACAAACTACCATCGCTACTTTCGACTACGCCATTGAACCACTGTTGTAAACAATTGACGACGGCAGTGCTCAACAACAACAAAACCAACAATACTTCACCTCCATCCAGACCAAAAGTGTTCAGATATTGTTTATAGTCCAACGCCTAAAAAGCGTGCGTTCAAACTTTATTCCACCGCATCCAAAGCCATTGCCGCCATAACTGCTGAACTAAGCTGCGGCGGAGCAAGTGTCACCAACAGTCAGTGGAGAAGTATAGCACAGCAGCAGCAGCAGAAGCCGCCGAAACCCCGACCCAGCCAGGATTGTCGACACCAGTCACATTCATTGCTGTTTGATTTGTCGCAAGAACTTGTCGTCGCAATGCAAATAACTGCCCCCTTCAGGGCTCTGGTGATTGCCCATTTATTCTATTGTGTGGCACCAGCTGGAGGTAAGTACATTCAGCAAGAACGAAATGTGTTTGCTATTCTCTCGACTTTAATTTATTGATAATGGTTTACCATTCGTATGGATCACCCACTAAGAATAAAATAACAAAAATAAAAGACCAAAGCAAAACAAAATAAAAAAATGGGGCGGTGTAACGTCTAGGCAATATTTCACACTGGGAATAACTCAAATTATACAATTCAATGAAAATAATTTGTACTAAAGTTATAAGTTTATTGGAAAATTGACATACTTTGTGAAATAAATTCGGTTATTAGGGCTGTTATTTATATGTATCAGCAGGAATAGAAAACGGACCATCGTAAATTATTGGTAAGGGGTTTTATTGGTTTTATGGTGGAACACTTCGTATGGAAATTGTGATAGGGATATATGAATGGCTTATTTAAAAACTATATTTTTTATATTTATTATTTCTCTTCAAATCGTTACATTATTAGTCACAATATTTTATGATTTATACAGAGTATGTCTAGCCTGAGCTCCTTAAAATAAACACTCAAACATTGTTTGGCCAAATAAAACCATACATTTGCAAGAAAAAAAGACTAGTCACAGCTATTCGTGAAGGACGAACGGCTACTATCCACAATGTTGCCTGTGGTGAGAATGGCCGTTACAAATCCACCAGCAGCCATTAAATGCAGGCTCTCTGTTGTCAGAAAATTGTCGAAATGAAAAAGGGCGGCGAACATCTATCATAACATAAATTATTGTTGCGTATTAAATCAATAATATATTGTGTAGAAAATCAGACGAACTGCTCTTGTTTAATTAAACAATCTGATAGTTTCAGAGAACAAATTTTAATGCCAAAAGATATATACGAATAAAAAACGATATATACGAATAAAAAACGATAAGAAACTTTAACTTCAAAACCGCATAAATGTTTGTCCAGTAAATTTAGTTTGAGGTTTAAAATCGCCTGAAAAGGGAAATGTAGAAAACGTTTTCTTATGTTCTACTCAACAATAACCATAAATTGAAAACTACACCCAAATTGTTCAAAAAAGCGGAAAACTGCAATTTATGCTTCAAAATGTTGAAGATGTTTTTAAGCATTTTATATGGTGGTGCTTTTAAAAAATTAAATTTTCCTTCCCGAATGGTCAACACACAACGCCACTGGTTACAAGAGTATATGCTCGTCAGACATGTATGAATGAATTATGGTAAATATGCCGGTGTTTTTATCGTGCACAAAAAAGTAGAAAAACACATCCACACACGCACACACACACCTTAATTTATGTTAAATATATTTTATAGTACTCTTGCTTTCGGGCCAAGGATTTGTCTGAAGCAATAAGAAAATGACAGAATTAAAGAATAAGAAGAAAAAGCAGAATGGAAAAACAAAAACATAAGAGACAATTGAATTTGCATTCTGCTGCATAATAAAACTATAACTTCAATAGACAGCCAAAGCAAATCCACAAAGTCACACAAACAATATTTCGCATATAGACAAACACCTTCACATTCTGTATATATGGGTGGGCTATGTGTGTGCGCAAACTTATTCAAGCCCACAGAAAATAAAAAAGAATTTCCATCACGCGGAAAAAAGGCTGCAAACACCAGAGCAACAAAAACCAAAACCCGTCATGTGACAGTCTATGCAAGAGGCAGCAAGGCAAACAAACAACACCCACACCTCAACGCCTGAGTAAGCAACATTTTGGTAGCATGAATTCATGTTTGCCAGATTTTAAAATGTCATACTTGCACCGCCGCCCGTTAAGGGGCGGCACGGAGAGGGCGTCAGCCTAACAAGAAACGTAGTTAAGGACAGCCACCCGCAATTCCTCAGATGCGAGAGTGTGCTTTGCTTAAAGTTTTTTGTGTTTCGTTATTTCTGCTGCTGCTGTTGTTATTTTCTCTTGAAAGGCCTTCGCTTAAATGTCTGTTCTACTTTTCATAACTCGCAACAAAATGTAAATTTCATTTAACGGCCTTCGTGCTATATAACCGCATGCCCAAACACCCGTACATATATGTTGACTATGTCTATGTTCGTGCATATAGTCAAAATGACAACATCATGCTTGTAACTAACCATGAGAAAGAGAGTACATCCTACCATTCATCCAACTATCCATGCAAGCATCAATTCATCCATCCATCCATCCGTCCATACATTCATTCATGTATCGTGAAACAACTGACGATGTTCTAGTTGGGTTACCTTCCCCCTGAAGGCAAATGTTGAAATGCAACGAAAGACAGAATGGCTAAGCTACACCAATGCAATTAAATGACGGTGTACGAAGGGGATATTTTACGTTGAATACGTAAAATATCCTCACAAAAAATATATATATTAGAGAGGGTCAACATTATATTAAATAAAATGTTTTAATCTCGAATGACTATTATGTTAATAGTGATATTAAAATATATCTGACCTGAAAACATTTTTATTTTTGCTATATCCAGTTGTTATTTATTCGTGATATTGCTAATTCCAACACCAAATTTATGAACATAATTCCAAGATAGATGACAAAATCCAGCCGTGGTCGAAAATGAGCAGATTTTTTCCGCAGAGACTTAAAAATTAAATCTCAAAACTATACATCAATAATTTATAAAAGATGTTCATTTGTGAGATGAATATATTCCACTTGATAAGTTTGAATGTTTATCTCCTAGTCAGTAGAAGTGTAAAAAGGCGCAAAATAAATTATTCTCGTGTACGTTTATGGCAAGTTCATAAAGAAGCCACTTTTTTGGCCAGTGTATTTGTGCGAAAGAATTGATGAAAAATCAAATATTTCATGTGCAAGTATCAGTGTATGTGTAGAGCATTATATACACATACATAGTATCTATATGTATGTGTACAGGCACTGCCAACATACACCAGAAAAATGGCCAGAAGCACTTTTATATCAGAAGCAAAGCAACAAAAAAGTCATCACTCAAAGCGAATGCTGGCATCATACAGTAGATGGCAATGCCAGCCAGACAGCCAACCAGCTATGATTAAAGCCAGCAAAATGCAAGAATTACATTCATACCACCTGCCACCCATTCATTCATTCATCCAGCCATCCATCCGTCCACCCAACGAACTGACAAACGAACCGACCATACAGTCAGTAGGCTATATTTGAATGTATCAAATGTAAGCGCAAATATGACAACTGGAACGATGACATATCATCATCACATACCACCATATACGAATGTAAATGTCGGTGTGTATGTGTGGGTTATGATTTCGAGTGAGTGTGCGTCTTAAATAAATGTTTATGGGTTGAGACAATCGGACAGACTTGCGAAAAGTCAGTTGGCAAGTCATCTGCAGACATGGTACAACTGTCAGGCATATTTGTGGCCAACATTTTGTGCCTTTCCAAACACACATCAGCAAATTCGCATTTTGCATTTATGTGGACCAGTTCTAAGTCATCTCCAACAGCATATTCACATCAAGCATGACAGTTGTCAGCCGACAGCCAGCAGTCAGTGAAAGATGCAAAAGACAGCCACTTTTGCCGGGAGTATATTCGGTCGTCCGTCCATTTGAGCACATTCGCTGGTTCGTTCGTTCGGTTGTTCATTAGGACAACGTTGACGTTTATGCATGGCATGAATGTCGTTACTTTCACACTTACAACTTGACAAAGTTTAGACAAGAAATATGGGTGGATTAATTCATTTGATCAAATTAAAATTTGCTAAATACAGGACGACATTCGTTGGTTCTTTAAGTAATACTCATCTTTCCAACTGTTTGCTTACCCAGTATTTCGGTTGAACTTGTTACTCTATAATTTGTAATGATGAAATTTCACCTTGACTATAGATGTACGAAGTTATGTGTGTGTATGTATGATTGGACAACCTTAGTTTGGTTACACATACATCAACCGTTATCAAATTATAATCTGCAAGTAGACTATGTTAGTATGAATGTACTCCTTATACAATTCAAATTCGTCAAAATGAAAAAAAAAACTAATATTGTAGACAGTGTTTTGAGGTGCATATTTAAAAGTGATATTTATAAGAAATGTATTTAGTAATAATTGAACAAGTAATGTTTCCGTACTATACACAATAGCATTATATAGCCGTTTTGTAAATACAGAAGTGCGGTCTAGATATTCCTAAAAATTTAAAATTCTATTATAAGGCAGGTTCTTCATATACTATGATAAGGCTACTTTTTTCTATTTATTTTTCCATTATTTTTAATATGTCAAAAATATTGTTGTAAAAATTATCGCACTCATTTCTTCCAGTTTGGATATTACTATGTTTTATATAAAATCTGGATCTGGAAAATTCTAGATTCAATACTATGTAATTTTTTCGACAAATTTTCTCCGTTTTGAACACGTACAATCACTTCTAAACACAGTGCCAACTACATCCGTTCATTCGTCTATGCACAAAAACCTTTTCATACTTCAGCGAACTGTGAGCGTTTATGATGTGGTTTGACGTGAATTTCATTTTCCAAGGCCTTGGACATTAATTAGCCACGAAATTTAATTCCGCTTACATTCAGCATCTGCCAGAGTGGATGCTGCCCAACCAAATGGCTAAGTCTATAGCCATGTCCACATGGGGTATCAACTCCTACCCACATCTAAAAATACATTGAAGCCAGAAAGTCATACAGCTAACTGCCATGCACACACACACATACATTGAAACAAACGTTGTTCGTTGAATTCAGGCTCAAGTTCGTTTCGGACGTTTCATAGATGGTTATTTCAGTCGGCCACATTTAAAATCATACAAACGATGCTCACAATGAAATGAAACGCAAAAAATCACATGAAACTACACGAGTTTTGAATTCTAAATAGTTGATTTTTATTTCAGAAGGAACAACAGCAACAAACTAGAAATCAAGAACACAAAAACACGACAGCGACAAAAAAGCCTGAATGATGAAATGAAACCCATCTAAAAAAGTGGTTTTCTATGTTGGTGAATTCATAAATTTTACATAGTTGT